CAGAGCAGGCTAGACCCTATCACCTGAATTTGGGGTCAGTAGGTGCCCTCTCCCCTAGCTGGGCCTCCCTCGCTGAGGAGTCCTGGACTCTAGCAGAGTGGGAGCAAACAGTGGAGCCAGGACCCTGTCTCTTCCAGCTCCTAACAGGCCACGAGGCAGGGCCCTCGCTCTGAGCTCCTTTACAGGTGGGGAACCGAGGCCCAGAGAAGTGAAGAGTGACGGTAACGCCTCTTTGGAGCCTCACAGCTCTTGCCACAGGCCCCCCTAGTAACAGGGCCTGCTCTCCTGCCTCACCCCCACGGAGAAGGTATTGGACCTGGGAGTGTCACTCCAGGCCCCTTCTCTAGGCAAGGCCCGGAGCCCTTTCCCCTGGGGGTCTGGCCCCCAGCTCGTTGCAGGTGTGCAGTGACCTGGCTTCCTGCATTTGCCTCTCCCCTTAATGGGGCTCTTTGCCTATTACCAGGCTCCCCAATGTCTCCGTGTTTCTCTGTCCCGGAGGACCACCTCTGTGGGGTCACAGGCTGGCAGAGTGAAGGCCAGGCCAGAGGCCCACAGAGGCCACCCTGTGCTTAGAGTGTGCAAGAGCCAGAAGGGGATGCCTGAGGCCAGACCTTGCCATGGACCCCGGGTTTATGCAGGAAGGGGCCAAGAGAACTGGGCAGTGAACGCATATGTGGTGGGCAGAGGGCCAGCCTGTGTCCCTGCAGTGAGTTGGCCAGGCTGCTGGTTCCTTAGGCTCCAGGGGGTCACCTGGCCTGCAGCCCAGTTCACCCTAGGTGGCTGCTTTGTCCCCAGGGCGGCCCTGGCCTCTGGAGGGTGCAGGTGCTGGCTCGGCCTCTGCCAACACTGCCCAACAGTCCGGTCTTCAGGTCCAGCTCCCACACATTACTGTGTGCCCACCTCACTCTGAGATCTGACTCTCCGCCTGCCCAGTGGTGGCCTGGGACTGCCCCAGGCCCCGCAGCTGTCCTGCTTCCCTGCTCAGTTGTTTGGGGCCTGCAGTCAGAGTGTGTCCTGGTGGACCAGGGGCACCCATGGCACCCAGCGCCTCTGGCCTTAGGCCACACCCACCGTGTATCTTTGCCTTGCAGGTCCTGCTCTCTGCTGGGCTGCTGGTCCCCAACCCACCCACAGCCCCTGCATTCACCATGAGCAGCCCCACCTCTGCTGCATGGCTCTGGGCCTCTGGGACCGTGGCACCCTCTGCTCGCTGCCCCTCTCTCCCTCCAGGCCAGGTCTTTCTGAGCCAGGCTGTCCTGCTCTGTCACAGCCTGGGGCACCAGCTGCCTCTGGTGCTGGGGCTCCTGCTCTCTTCCCCGGGCAGGGACATGCAGGGCGTCTCAGGAGCCCCTGGGTACCTCCACCTGCCTCCCTCTTTCCATGTCCCTGCGTTTCCTTCTCTGTTGCTTGACCAGCCTCTCAGCCCAGCTGCCCCCTCGGGCGGGCTCACGGTGAGGTCTCCTGGCTGCACCCCAGCGCTGGCCTGCCCTTGCTCTCTGGATCCTCCCTCCGTCCCACAGAGCCTTCCTGTGGGTGCGGGGGCTCCCTGCCCAGGACTGCTGCACAACGTCCCTCCTGCAGTGAGCAAAGGCACTGGGACGCCTTTGTCTGGCTGTGGGGGCTTTGACCTGGTTAGCACTGGGAATTCAGGCCCCTTTGCCCTGGCTCCTGCTGGGGTCACTCTCCAGGTAGGGCTGGCGGGCTGGGGCCGTGTGGAGAGCTGGCTGTGTGTGTTGGGCCGTGGGACCCCGGGTCTCCCCCGTGTGTCCTGAGGTGCAGCGGTGCTGGTTAGAGCAGACATCCCAGGCACTGAGGGGCCTGTCCTGGGGTTTGAGGGCACTCTGGAGCTTTTCCCAAGGGGGTTATTGGAAACAGTTTGCTCCTGGGTGACCTGGGAGAACAAGGGCCACAGCCTTGAGCAGGGAACACCAGGGGTTGCTTTCAGAAGCAGGTCTCTCCCACCACCTGTGGTCACTGAGCCACGGCAGAGGCCCTGGGAGTGGCACCCACCTCAGCACTGTCCTCAGCACACACCTACACATGCCCACCCATACCCACAGAGCCTCCCCTGCTGCCTCCAAGGAGGAGGTGCTGGCCACAGAGGGGTGTCAGTGTTCCCAGTCGGAACAGAGCGGGGGTGACCCAGAGCTGGGAAGGTAAGAGCCGGGTGGCCTAGGAGAAGGGCCCCAGAGAGGTGCCACAGGTGGTGATACAGGTATGAAGCCTGGAGGGCTTCAAGGGAAGGTCAGCACCAGGACAGTGGGCAGCAGGAGCAAAGCTGGGGAAGTTGGGCCATGTCTAGCCCCAGGCTTCGCTGGTGTGGGGGTTCGCAGGTGGCAGCCCCAGGCAGCAGGAGATCATGAGTGCAGGGCCCAGAGGGCACCTGGAAGGGGAGAGCACGCAGGCGCCAGGGTTGGGTCTCGGGCTGACGGAGCCTTGGGCTCCAGGGCAGCTGGCAGGGGCCGTGCAGCCCTCGGCTCCAGGATGGGTAGGGGCAGAGTTGGGTGTCCATGTTGCAGGGCCACAGCCTCCACACATAGGGCCTGCAGGGCCTGGACCTAACCTCTCCATACCTCCCCAGCCCGCCAGCCCTACCTAGAGAGTGACCCCAGCAGGAGCCAGGCCCCCTGCACTGCAGGAGGAGCAGCAGTCAGCAAGGCTCAGTCCCTCTATCTGTCCAGGAGGGAGACTCCTGACCACCAGGGACTCCTGACCACCAGGGACTAAGACACTTTGAGTGACTGTCCAGCTGGGCAGGGGACAGGAGGTGGACATCAGTGTTCATAGGGGCTTCAGAACTGAGGCTCCACCCCAGAGGGAGAAGGCCTTGGGAAGGGTCTAAAGGGACTGACCATTCTATGATGTCCAGTCGACTCCTCAGCACCCCTGACCCTGGGCCCCTGGCCTGGTCTCGAGTGTAGGTCACTACAGGCAGGTGCTCTGGGCCACCATCAGCATGCTCCTGAGAGCAGGGACTGTCTCCTCACCTGGCAGACGGTGGGAGGCACATGGGGTGCTGGAGACGGCCACACCTCTGGGAGCATCGTTCATGCCATAGCCATGTGACAGCACCCCTGCAGTTGTGCAGTGCACATCACATGGGACCATCTCTGGCCACCCACAGCATGATCCAGCCCATTGGCCATGCAAATCGCTCCTCTCCCAGGGCCAGTGGGCCTGGGCTTCTGATCTGCCCGCAGGAGATGCAGGGAGTATCTTAGGTGAACAGAGGGTTCTGCAGAGCCTCCTGGAGGACCCTGCACCTGAAACTCAGGTACCTGGGTTCCAACAGGCCACAGCTGCCTCCTGCTCCCAGCAGCAGACAGAGCAGGGCAGCCACTGGGCATCTGCAGAAAGGGGCCAGCTGGCTGGATGGCAACCCAGGCTGCAGGCAATGTTCTGAGACGCTCAGCCTGGCTCTTGTGTCCATCAGTTACTCCTGAGTAGACGGAGGGTCCGAAGGAGGGCTTGCCCCTGGGGCCCCACACTGGGAGGGGCTAGGAGTAGAGACACATGCTCCATGCAGATGGTGCCCACAACACCATGTCCAGGGGCCTGGTGTCCACCTGACATCAAGATCCCAGTGGACCCCCAAGGAGGGGGACTGGGCAAGGGGCCCACCCAGGGCTGGCCCTAGTGTCTCAGTCCCTTCTCAATCCCACCAACTTCCCCAGCTCCCTGGGCAGGTCAAAGCCAAGTCAGGGCTGCGGGCTGCGTTCTCTGTCCTGCACACGAGGGCCCTGCCTCTGCCCGGCCCCAGCCTGACTGATGGAGGTGTTAGCAAGACACTTCTGCCCATCTCTGACGCCCAGAGCCGCCCACGGCCAGGCCCAGTCCTCCTCCAGGGCTGGAGCGTGGGCCGCTTGAGATGCCGTTCGCTCCCCTGGAGTGGGAACGCTGAGCCCAGGGCAATGCGTGCTTGGCAGCTAGGCTCCCCTGGGCCACCGTGCTCATTGTCCCACCTCCTCACAGCAGACCACATGGCTGCCAAACTGGGCTGCAGCCCAGAGCGGCCTGTGCAGGGCAGGTCTGGATGCCCCGACCCGCCTCGGGACTGGTGAGCCCACTGTGCCCAACCCTCCCTGGCCCCTTATGCCCGGCTGTCCTTGGGTGCCTTTTGTTCTGGGAAGCCCAAGACAGAGGTGGGTCCTCTTGTTCCCAACCCCACCAAGTGCCCCAGATGAGACCCTGCCTGGTGAGGGGAGGGGACACTACCCCACTACACTGGGCTCCACATGCTGGGAGCCCCCATGTGCAGAGGCCTGGCGCTTGGTGTACTGGGCTGGCTGGTGCCCCTCAGGAGTGCCTGTGCTCACGCCTGGGCCCCGCAGTGGGCACTGCCCCGGGTCATCTGATGCCAGCTGGCCCATGACGCCTGTGCTATTCCTGGGAACCTGTGTTTACCCCCAACACAGGCGGGCACACGTCATCTCCATGTTCTTGGGCCAGCTGAAGAAGGCCAGGGAGACAGGGCACCACCCAGGGTGTCTGGGCTCCCTGGCCTCTAGCCCTGGTGGCCTGCAGCCCTTGGCCATCTCATGTCCCTGGAGGCCAGCCAGCCCTCGGGGGAGGCCGTGTGTAGCAGAACATGCCAGTCCTGACTGTGCCACAGATTTGCCTTCTCTGGGGACCTTGGCTTCCCCAGCTGTCACAGGGACCTCCCTGCCTGCCCCCAAGTGGCAAGCACCCCAGTGTGAAGGTGGGGGACACTGTGCCTGCCATTGGGGGCAGAGAAGGTAGGCTGGCCCCATCCTGATGGACTCGCCCCACAGGCCTGGGACAGGACCCGGGCCTCCTGAGGCCCACAGGCAGAGCTGAGGTCCCCAAGCTGCCCCTTCCTCCCCACCCTGCCACCCGGCCTCTCATCCCCTGCCTGCAGGCAGCCCCTCTAGGTCCCTCCCTGTGTCGTCTCTGTGGAGGCCCACGCAGACCACCTCCAGCACCCATGCCTGCGTCCCTCTTTGTCCCTCTTGCCCTTTCCCCACGGGCACTCTGGGGCCATCGTCATCTGCTCACAGAGCCCTGGTCAGGTCAGACTGCCCCCCCCACATCTCCCAGGGCTCTGCTGGCCAGGGACACTGGGGAGGGCAGAGCCAGCCCTGACTGGGGTGCCCGCAGTGCCTTGGCCAGGTCGGACGTGGCTGGGAGGCTCCTGATGGTCCTGCCCTGTGGGCATGGGCGGCAGCGCCAACGTCTGTTCATGGGCCTCGGGGCAGACCTGACGGAGCCTCACACATGCATCGGAAAACCTAACTGGTGTCAGGGGACCGTGTGGGGGACTGGCTTCTGGCAGGTGGGTGTCAGACAACTGCTGAAGGTTCCGGCCCAGGTGGGGCTTCGAGGAGGCCCTGGGATGGGGAGGTGGCTGAGGTGTGTAGCTCTCCAGCTCCCTCAGGACCAGCTCTCACCTGGGGCCTCGGGCATCTGTCCTCTCCCTGGCCTGGGCTAAAGCTGCAGATCCGCCCAGTGCATCAGGAGGAACCGTGGCCACCGTGCTCATGGGGAGAGGTGAGGGCCACTCTCCCTGCAGGTCTCGCCTGGGCGTCTGCTCGGCTGGGTCGTGAGGGTGGAGGACCTGATGCCCCTCAGTCCCATCAACTGGTTGCCCCCTAGCAAGGCAGAGAAGATGGGGTGTAGCTGGGAGGGAATCAGGGTCCCGCTCCTCGGGGCTGCAGTGCCACTTGGTGGCAGGAAGCAGGACGAGCCCGGAGCCTCTCTCCCAGCTGATGCTCACCAGGCCCCTGCAGGTCTGAGCAGGTTCTCAAGAGGCACCAAAAGGTTCTCAAGTGCCTGTCTGTGCAGGGGACCTGCTTTGGGGGCAGCACACCATCTCAGGAGAGTATTGTGCCTGCCGGCAAATATGTCCATGCAGGGTGGGCCTCCTGCCCGGGGTTCAGACATACCCCTGTTGGACAGGGGTCTGCCAAGCCACCCAGTGTGGGTGACAGTCTGCCCAGACATGGCAGAACTTTGATAGCACCCCATCCTGATGGGGCCTCTTTGCATCTGCAGCACCAGAGGCCTACCTCATGAGGACCTGGGACATGGGGTCAGGGGCGGAACCTGGGCTGTGCTCCAGGGGCTGGTCAGTGGCAGGATAGGGGCTGGAACCTGCTGCCTGGTCCTACCTCCCCCACCTGGTGCCCACCCCAGCCCCTCGGCCTGACACCGGGTACTTTCCAGGACAGGGCTCCTCTGAGTTGCTTCCCTTGTATTCTCAGGTGGGAGATGCCGGCCAGGGGGAGGGCCGCTGCTGAAGGGGACAGGTTTGGCCTGTTTTTAGAGGGCTGGGCCTTGGTCCTCACCAGAGGAGGCAGCACATGGGGTGGCCTAGAAGCTGAGGCCTGTGCTGAGCCACCTCCTGGAGCCCCTGGGGCCAGCCTGGGCCAGAGCCTCTCCCACCTGGGATGGCAAGCTGCCCAGCCCCTGAGGACAGGCTGGGTGGTCACTGGGAAAACCTGGAGAGCGGGCTCTGTGGTCAGTGCAGAGGAAGGACGGCCCCCTGCAGAGGCTCATCCCACGAGGGGCAGACGCAAAGGCCTGACTGTCCCAGGAACAGGGCCACCAACCCGCCCAGGCCCCTCCCCACGTGTCAGAGTGGCTGCTGTGCTAGGCTGCCCCAGTCCCACCGCCCGGG